GTCATGCCCACACATACAGATGTGCGTGTGCGTGTAGTGCTTAATACAAAGTGTAATTTTCTTCTGTCCCTTCAGTGTTCTCTACAGTATCGGGTGTCCAGACAAAGAGTACACATTTCCGGATCCCCTTCTTAATCTCGTCAGAAACTTTCCTGTTTGGTTCACAGTGAATGATTTGATGAGGATGTAACCAGAGTACTATTGTAGCAGCTAGTAAAGCAGCGTGGGTCACGAGGACGAAACGGCACCATTACGTGGTCACTAGAGGTCACATTTTCCGGTAAACTGAAAAGGAGTTCTGCCAACGGATCGCATTGGGACGTGGGTGCCACTTCCTATTTGTTCAAATCAGCTTCTCTGAATCAGGTCGAAGGGCAAATGATTTCCGCGATGCTTACAATAGGCAATTTGACTTCAGGATTCACTGATAACTGATTTTCACTGACTGTTTCAGATTCCATCTTCACACACAAACCCCCATTTGTCCCGCGACCGTAAATTCAGGAAACCTCGAGCTCAAGGGTTGCTCTCATTAGCGTTCATTGATAGTATATGCTGGCCCCATCCGCACAGTTCTCCATTGTGCATCCGAGCTAATTAGAATCACCGATTCAAACCTGTTCATACTTTCTCCTAAATGGCAGTCAGTCGTTTGTAAACCTGCCAATATTGATGAACTCTGTCATGCCGTTGTTCGTCCTGGAATATGTTCGCTATCACGAACTGATTTAAATGAGAATCTGGTTGCCTGATCTACAAGGGAACAAGTAACTGAGTGTATCTTGTTTCCCTGGACCTTTGGATTCCTGAGTGAAGTTTATTACAGACTATGCAGAATTGCAATACAGGTATTGACCAAACTCGTGCAACATCCTGATTTTAATTACATTTGTTCCTCTCAATGCTTTATTCTTCCAGCCTCATTCACGGGATTGTATATGATATTGCCGCACATCAGATGCAACATATCTGATATAATATCCACTTGTGTCACTGCTTCTATTAGCCACATGTCATTAAAATGAAAAATTTCGCGATTTCAACGATTTTTGCAAATGCATCAGTTGTAAGATAACAAGGTCACAGTAGAAAACCTAACTGTAATTTATTTATTAAAATGACTCGTAGACTTTATACAGGTATTGCACGAGTTTGGTCAACACCTGTATACGGACAAAACGAACCCATATATTCATTTGACCTGTGGATTGAACGCTTCGAGAATGATTAAGTTGGGCTTGTCATAATGACGGAACCCGTCGCTCTGAATTCCCAAACGACTATTGGCCTGAGTATCTGATATCAGATTAAGTCTGAACCCAACATAAACTAAGTACATCCCATCATTATCTAGGATCTCCACGTATGCACACAAGTAACAGTTTCTTTCATGTATTCTGTATTCTTCTCGAACAGAACTCAACCGTGAAACTTGCGGCTGATTCGCTTTTACCTATGAAGTGTAACCCGGTACCTCAGAATGGAATGATTTTAAAAAGTTGCATTTTTACCTGAGGGTTCCGTGCTTTTCGTTTACGTCACATTTGTACAACTCACCTACGGTATGCTGTCGTTGCATTTCACATCGTTACGTGAAGACAAATGGCCTTTGGATAATTTCATCGTCTGGTGGCCTTAGCTAGTTATTTTTCCATAATAACTCTTAATTGAACTTACGTATTGTGGCGGTATGCAGGCGCCCAATCTGACACAAATTCGCTTCCATTCGGGTGACAGGGGAGCGAGAGCGGGGCGGGGGTTGATGCACGTGCATTATCGCAGTGATAAACAATCCGCGTGTTGTCCAACTGACCTTTCCTGTTTTTGTCACTGAACTGCGTATTTCACACGAATAGAAACGGAATAAGCCGGTAGCCCAAACCGATCTGACTCGCACGCACTTTGTGTTTTCAATCTGCATCAGATTCACATCCCATCCACAACGGGCATAGCGCGCGCATTCGAACAAACAAAACATCCAAACTTTTTCATCGTTGTTTATAAGACGAAAGTGAACCCACATAAACAGCACAAATGGTAAACTTTCATTAGTGCTCGCCTCTCTGTGATGAACAGTAAAATTAGTAACCCCTATAAGAACCGTGATAATTGATTTCCANTGGGTCCTACAGTGCTCCCCGTGTTAATTTATCGTTCCCTTGTGGCTTTTATTCTTGAAGCCAATTCTAGCACGTTACATCCCAACCGCCAGGCTGTACTTTTATTCCCTCATTCTCATCACCGTACAATGGAACGAACTTCGCTGATCGCTGCCAAGCTCAAAATGTGCACAACTTAAGTGAGAACGGATAAGATGGATAGGGCTTGGGCCTGATTGGTCAACACAGAGTACACAACCTGGCTGTGCATACAAACCTTTCCATGCAAGCTGACCTGATAAGAAATGACAACAAAAACGTCACTGCTGTCACTTAGTTGCCAATATCCTTCAGTGTTTCCAGCCCATCAATGGCAATCCTTTGGATCCCGACCTGGAAGAGGGAGACACCCGTTTTACTTATTCGCTTTGCGCAACTCTTAATGCCTCGTTCCCGCGCCATTTGTTGATCTCCACGTGCTTTCCTCCAACCTAGATCCGTTACTTTTGAAAACGATGAACAACTGACAGTAGGAAACAATTCAAAAATAGGTCGCAAAGACCGCAAGGCACCACAGGCCTCGAGAGAACTGAATCAATGAGTCCGTGCATGTGCATTTGTCAGGACCAGGAGCAAAATTCAGAAAGCGGATTATTGGTGCAATCGATCGTCAGCTCGAGTGACCTTACAAACACATCGCACCCTATATTCATACTGAGTGTTTCGTTTGTTGTTGTCTGACATTACAAATCGCAGTTCAATCACTGGACCTCCTTAGACCGCATTTTCGTTCTGAGCATTATTATCCATGCTGTATGGCAACCACACCTAGTGATTCCCTAGTTACATCACACACTAAACGTACACAGGGTTCAACAGTCGTGTAGGTCCCCTACCCTGAGTTGGTTGAAAAGTAATGAAGTACAACTCCAAAGCCTTCACTCCAACCATCGCAGAAGTTTGAAAGCCTCACTTATTAAAAGAATAACGCGTCTGTCTACACAACAACAACAACAAAGAAAAATATGGCAGCAACAGCAACAATGAAAAGTAGGTGTGAATGTGCTACATTGTCCGGGAGNCCCTCGCCTGTGGCTCCACGAGGCTGAAGCATAACGGCGCCTATATTGCGACAAACCGCTCGACAGGCGGGCTAAACTAGGTTGAGGGTAACGGAGGTGTAAAGGCCTTGGTGAGACGGTGTGCGGTATGTGAATACAGCCAATCCTGGATGGGCGGACGAGATCTACTATCTGATTCAACGGCTATGAAGGAAGCCTGTTCAATTAACAAGGATGCATGGACCCCTGATTTGCAGCTACATGTACCGAATGGTGAATGAGCCCTTATGGAGATCCCGGCGACCATGCATCAACACACTGCTGCCAAGCAAACTGTACTTCGCTGTTCAAGGGTTAGACGTGTGCCCTCGAAACAAAATGCCGAGTTACGCTGGAGAAGTCTTTCGAACGAAACTCGATGATTAACCTAGCCGGCTTATCCTTTCCAAGGAGCCAGCCGCAGTAAAGCAAAGTAAGTGAGCTTGTGAAAGTAACTTCCAATATGGACAGTCGGCGGTGGAAGACAAATACCAACTATTGTTGCAAGATTGATCCACGAACGATACAACATATAGAAAGCAGTTTTATATGCTCACATTTAGCAATCATACTGAGTAAAAGAGGACTAGCCACTGTGGGGACCATACAAACCAGTTGCACTTTTTTCGGGCAGAGTTGAAACTAAGCTGACAAATAATTCTTTACGCTTGTCATTAGCACTGAATACAATCCGATTTTCGCACAATGGTGTCAGAACCGGGTGCAGACCTGGTTGCAAACACGTCTACTGTTCTTACAACGCGGTCTACTAAGCTGTGTATTACTCCCAGTCCAGATATGTTGTGCACTGAGTCTTCTGTGCACCACGGTGATAAATGGTTCGCGAACAAATGACACTATTTGGCTTTGTTATGACCATTCAGGATAGATTTTTAATGATTGGTTCGATGTCAATCGGTAATTATAATCCACATTGTGATCAATTCACCTCATAATGCACATTCACTGTGTTGACCACATTAAGGACTGTATCATGGCATGGAGATCACACAATGCAGACGTTTTTGATGGGCCTCTGTGCCACACAGCAGCTTTGATAAAACCGGTGAAACTGCCTTTTGTCAGTTACAGACACCTGTCTTTCAATCATTTTTACATGGTAAATGGGGGAGGGTATTTTTTACCCGCTTATTCATCGTCTGTAGGAGTCAAGCATGTAGTCCTTATTTCGTTTCGTTTCCATTCCCCACACAAACCAGTTCGCTCTTCCCTTCAGACTAAATGGCTCCCTACACCATAACAGAACCCTCGCCACCTCACAAAGTTGATACACCCATTCTGTTTGTGCGCCTAAGTCACACGGATTTCCAGACTTTCATCATTCCGCCTTCCATGCGTAGCTGGTCTTGCTTCATCACTATGCGTAACATTGACCAATCAAAGTGAAACTCCCCCAAAGAAAGCCTTTCAATGGCAGTCGATCACTCAACAAATACGTACTGACCAACTTGCATCCACACCACAATTGTTCTACAATCACCTCAGTTTACATTCTAGGGCGGAAAAAGGCACACTCCTGTTAAATGGGTGGTTAGGTAAAAAAAAAGCTACTTCTCAACAGACGTCGATAAATCCTTTGTTGTACCCTTGTGATTACCACTACGAAACAAAACGGTATTATTTACCGGCAAGAAACACTAATAGCCCCAAAGTTGGTACGATGACACAGCCCAATAACGTGATGCGAAAAGCAAACGGAATTCAATTATGACTATACTACATAGATGGTCCTAGAAAATGTGATTAAAAACAGGGGAGCTGCGTAATGCTACTAACTCCACTTACTGCTGCGATGTTGTATTAATCAGACATGCTTCAGATGAGTCAGGCGAGGCCCAATATGAAAACATTTCCACGTTGTATCACGTCGATCACCATCAGATCAGATGAGCTAATCAATCTGAGATAGTGACACATTGAATGAGTGGGAGCCAGAGCGAACTTTATCAGCAGCTAAATAAATTCCGTTTCATTCTCAGAAAAAACCAATCGATAAAATATTTTCCATTCAAATAATTAGACTACATATCTATACCGGGAAATTTCAAGAATAACGAGTATTTCCGCTATGGGCGGAGAGTTGTCCACAAATATTTCATTACTATAAACCATATATTTCTGAGTGGGTCACTTTTAAATAACTTTAGTAGTGATTTATCATTGGACAGTTTGTGTATGTTACCTCAATCATGTTGATACAATTATAGAACAAAACGAGTAGATCTTGATTAACCCCTCACTGATGACTGGGGTTTACCGAGAATATATAACCTGCCCTTTATAGTTTCAGGCTTATTCGATCACGGAAAGCCACATTTCCCTACTTGGCACGAACTCTTAAAGAGTAGGACAACGGTCTGATTTTGATTGAAATTTGAGTTTTATTTTGCTCGTTTGGAATGTTGTTCTCACAGTTCTAAAGTATTCGGAAGCTCAGTAGTTATAGAAAAAATATTATAAGATACTATACTCGAGACAGTTTGAAGTCCTTTGGTTGTTCTTGGATAGACAAGTAAACGTAGCGTAGTTCATATCGTTTGTGTCGCTCGAAAACATGACTTGAAAACCGCGATCAATTTGTAGTTACACTACTGACAAAATGATAGTAGGCAAACAATATTTCGAACGCATTCGCCTGTTGCAACGAGTCCTGGTCCACAAATTTCAGGGCAGATAAAAGTGCTACGAGTTGGTTCAAATGGTTGGCAGAATGTGCGAAGTAGTTTTCTTTGCTTAGAAAAGGTAAAAAGACTGTTTTGAAAGGTTTGTGTATTCCAGAATGAGAAAATTACTCGGCCTTCAACATCACAAAACCACAAAATGGATAAGTACAACCAAGTTCGCATAGGTCTGGATTATGTGCAAATAGTGAATCGTCGCGAAAAAGATCACTTATTCGATTTTTTCATTGAAGATGATGACGGCGATGTACTATTCGACTTCGCTGCACTTTCTCCGGACTTTGCTGCATCCGTTGTGTCATCCGTCTTGCCTGATTGAGGTCGTTTAGACTGATCGCCAGAGGCAGTGATTTTCTTGTTATCTGTGCCGCCCCCTTCTTCATTCCGTTCGCTTTCGCGGTTGGCAAGTTTGTTGGAAATTAAGTCGTGGAGGGCAAGGATAGTTCGTATAATTGCAGCTACATAAACAACCAGCATCTCATCATTAGTGTTCACGTGGACCGCACGAACCATATCATGAAGACGAAGGTCAGGTAGCAAGTTGAATATATCCTGTAGCTGATAGATTACACCATGGTTAACCGGGAGTTGATTTGTGGCCACCAATTCTAGATAGTTACCGATATCTCGCAAATGACGCAGCAGACCGGAAAGACCATCAAGTTGCGCCCCAATCCGTTGGGAAAGAGGACCAAGCGTAGTATCTTTGATATCTCTGGAAAAAATCAACGGCGGATGATAACATCTCGAAAGACAGACAACAGGCCAATCAACGGCATTGTTCGAGTGTAAATTTAAGACAAAGCTCTACAAACGCGTTCAAAGTATGCCAAAATCATACGCAAACTATTATCTTCGTATAAAACCACATGTACACATTATGCACGCAGACAGATTACTTCTCAACAGCAAAACTACAACTTGCGACACTAAACATCCAGATAGCGAGGGAGAGAAAGGTGGATATCGTTGCGGGGTTAGAGGTTTCCGTACAGTAAGCATTGATCTGGTAATTCCTCTGTGCTATTAAATTTCATACATGATTCTTCAAGGATAGATTAAACTGATTAACATCTACCTAACCTGGATACTGTCAATCTTCAACGCACATGCATTGACTAGGCTAAAGAAAGCGAAAACGATACCGGAGCAGCATGGTCGTTAGATAATCCAGCGAAATTCGCAGCACTTGAGAAACTCCAGTACTCCAGAACTAACTGCACCAGAGAAATCAAAATTGTAATCCAGGAATGCTCAGGTCGCTTGATGTAGTGATTACTATTTCGTGAGCCAACGCGTTTAGTAAGCACGTAAAGCCACTAGTTAGCATAACCTTCTAGTCATTAACCGCGACTTAGGCACCCATTTGGGATGCCAAAAATTCCGGTGTAAAGAGAAAGCTGAGATCAGAAATGGTAATATCAAGAAAAAAAATGCACAACAGTTTGAAGGTATCAAGATGGGAATTCGATGATGCCACAGCGAATCTGGGGAAGGCAGGTGAGAAGAGTAAACGTGAAAACTTGGCTGTGTAGATGACAAAAACAAACAGTGCAATCCTGAAGCTAACTAAAATAACTCACCTCCTGATGCGTACCGGGCAAACAAGTGAACAAGAATGCAAATGAAGATAAGGGGCGATAGATCACATCTATTCAAACGAAATGTTGTGCAGTTTTTTTGCATCCGAAATCGAATTTGTTGGACCGCTCCTTGATAACTTCAAGGATAACGGTCGGCAGTCTTGTATGCAGCCCCAACATGTGTGGCTTATAGCGGTGGTTGATTTGCGTTCACCGTTTGCGCGAGAAGAGCGGACGCCAAGTGGCGTACCGGCAATTGAAACGAGAGAAGTTCTTACTGGCGAGGATTAGACGATGATCGTAATATAAAGCCAACAGCCGTTCCCCGTTTTCGAGTGGCAGGAACCTGGTCCGAACGAACCTCCTGATGCGAACCACTCGAAGTTCGCCGATCTACCCTAAGATTGAGCGGTGGTGGTTAAATGGTTAGGTCACCAAATTGTGATCCGAAGGTCCCGGGTTCGAATCGCTCCACTGCTGTCCGTCTTCCCTTTTTTGTATTTCCCCAAGCAGCCTTTATATGGCCGCAATCCCCTTCAAGAAAGTTGACTGTACATTTGTATATTCAGTAAATAAAAGGAAGTAAAAAGACGTTTTTATTTTTTATTCATATCTTCTGCTAAAATCACGATATCAGCCCCGTGCGCCTTAAGCACGAGGTGGTGTAGATTATGGCAAAATTCATCTTGCTATTGGGAAGCGTTACTGTCGACAAGTTCAATACCACGCATAACGCACATGGTGCTAAAGTTAAATCTCGTTCCAGGCATGCTATAGATGCATTTTATATTTTTTATCGTCAGTCGTTAGGTGCCCCGGCAGTGCTTTTACAATTCGATTGTTGTGAAATCGCAAATTTTTTGGAACGTTTTCACCATTTAATCTCTTACCTGTTTAGGTTACATGATTGCTCTGAATGATAATTAAAAATCTGCTCCAATAAACTGGACTTTGGTGGTAGGCATCTTTGCCATCGTCCGGTTCAACACCACACCTAACCTATGGGGGCCTTATGTGGTTCGCCACTTCAAGTCCCGGGGCTTGGGTTACCGGTTTATCACTGAACAGTAGGTGCTCATGACTATGGGGTTTACCCCGTTTGGTGTTCATCACAATAAGGAGTGCAATAAAAATCCTCGGCTGCAGTCCATTGGGGAGTACGCCGACAGAACAAACAAGTTTTCTCCATCGGGGCGATGGCTACTTACTTTGCACGAAACTCTGCGTCTCACTGCGCACAACCTACTGTCGACTGGGATCCAATCTAGGGGTACAGCTTTAGCTCGCACTGAAGGTCACGCCAACACCAGCAAGACCGGAAGCCGCAGCCTTAGGATATCCAGAGAGGCATAAATGAAACTTCGCTGGTAGATTTAATAGGAACGTCAATCGGATGATACAGCTGAGGTCTTGAATGCGAGTTTCGTAAGCTTAAGAAAAGCGATATCATAGTCGTGGCCCAATTGGTAATTACTCTATTTAATCCGAACAGTGTTTCCGTAAACTCAGTTATATCTGGTAACTTCGCATACAATACAGTGAATCACACACCCCAGTAGGGTCTTCATCTCCGTCGACAGTAATCCTATTACATAAGCACAATTATTTGTCGACTAGAGCAACGTACCCGTTTGTTATATATTTCACGATAAGCAGTATATGAATGACTTAAAAAGATTTTCCTGGAAGCACATGACCGGCTTCGTGGTTCTTGCCGCTAGTCTGGCATGCGAACCCGGTAATCTTTTGTCACTGCATTAATATACTTTTACTCAGGAAGATATATATATATGCATTGGGGAAAATGCGATGAAAAACGCCGCCGCCGACGGAGTTTAGCCCCGCATCATGATACACTGTTTTTCACGAACTCAGGTGATCTAGTAGTGATGCTGAGTTATGCTTCTCGCGCATTAGTTAATTCGTAAACCTATTTTCATTTACAACAGACCGAGTAAAACTTAAACATAAATGTGAGATCAACATGGCGCAAAGCCATTCGAGCAAAATATAAATCTATAAATTATATAAATACTTACCTTAATAGGTGTTCTATGCCCACTTCTTCAGCCTCTTCTGCACCAATCTGAGAAGTTAATCGATCAAACGTTTTTGTTGTTGGAGTTCCATCCTGTGCAGAATCAACGAAAAAACATCTAAAATTATCTGCCTGGAACTTATCACAGCACATGATACCATTTGCAAATGAAGCGGGCACCAAAAAGCAATTCAAAACAGTTTTTATTGGGTCGTTACGTATATTGATTAACCACAATCCATTCGGGGCTGGTGTCCAGTTAATCAGATCACACACCTTGGATGGAGTCAACCATCATATTGCCCAGCCAAGACAGTGGCCTCTCCCATAACCAGGAAGGTATAGTTTTGAATCGTACACCTCTTATTGGTTGGTTTTAGATTATTGTTTGCCAACTTTTATAGATGAACTATCATCGACTCACAGACTCAGTTATGGCCCCGGATGTCGAAACCCTCACATTGGTAGAATAACACCACCAAATGACGAAAGTGATTTCACAGCAGAAGTTAGAGAAGGTTAGGGAAAGAACACTGAAGCCCAACGCTTTGTGACGTCAAAGCGCATACAGTGTGCCAGAGGATTTACTATCTCCTATTGCTGCCTGGAATTGGTAAGAAAACTTATTTCCATAAATTATATGGAACCTCTTCACTCCGCTCATGGAGTCCGATTTCTTTACTCTGATTCACACACTGATGCATATTTAGCAACGCCATCTTGATCAATAGGTAAAAGATTTTAAGGCACAGTTCAGCTGGCCCCCATCAACATCAGACCCCATTTTACCAACTTCAATTGGACAAACAATGCCAGTTGATATCAGTCCTCCATCTAAAATGGAGGTTTCCAGGGGAATGAGATATCACAAAAGGTATAAGGCCTCCAGCCTGAACGGACTGTCCCCATCGGCTTTTGAGGATGGAGGAGACTGCACCTTGACGTGGTGTGGTAAAATAGTGAAGTAATTGATCCAAGTAAATGGGCCTCTACTTCGCTTTACCCGCTGCCTTGCTTAGTGGCTGGATACCCTGGCAGTACTCGTCCATCAAACTCCAATGCATACACAACCAAAAATTATTTCATACTACATCGGTCGTCGCGTAGGATAATCAGGACCGATCTGCCCATTGCATCGAGCAAGGTGGCTAATGATAAGTGAGCTACTGCTCAGATATCCCAACCTTCGTTTAGCTCTTTATCTTCCGTACCCAACCCGTAACATTCCCTCAGACAACTTGTTCGTCACTCGCCAAAGTGCGTTGCCAAGTAGCCGAGTAAGTAGTTAACCACAAAATAGATTACATATTCTGAAGCCTCGTCAGCCACTGAATCTGGGGACCTTCAACGTGAGGACTCTGATGCACGTAGGTCAACAGGCGTGTCTGGCGCGTACAATGGACTCACCATCATCGTACAACGAGATACAGTGAAGCCAGCTTCACTGATTGCTGCCAAGTTCACAATGTACACAAACCAAGTGATAAGGCACAAGATGGAGAGGGATTGGACCTACTTGGATGGAGGCAAAGAAAAAGAACCTCTATGTTCAACACAAAGTACACAATCTAAGTGTTCATGCATACCTTTTTCAAACATTCTGACTTGTTAAGAAATGACAACAAGAATGCCACTGCTGTCCTTTAATGTACAATGGACTCTTTGGGGATTGATGTCTGCTGCATGCCGGAGACTCGAATCCAGGATAGTAGTACTACATGCCACTTAGGTGCACCAGGGTTTTCTTTGAGGTTCTTCCTCCGCACGTCAGGTAATGACGAAGCCCGTTCAGTAGGCCAGCGTGGTGTGGGCACTGTACTGAACAAGACAGCCGAATCCGCACTAGTCGATTGGATCCCCGTCAACAGCCGCTCATGTGCGATGCGGCTCCAAGGGTCTATCAGCGTCCGG